TATTTTTTACTAACCTATGTCTTTAGTTGACAAATAATAATTGTATATATTTACAGGGTACAATGTGATATTTTTATGTATACAAGAATTGCAGGAAGGTTAAATCAACTTAATTAACATGTCCATCACTTTACTTCCTTATCATTTTTTTATGGTGAGGACATTTAAAATCTGTTCTTTTAGCAATTTTGAAATATATGATACATTATTATTAACTATGGTCAACATGCAGTGCAATAGGTCACTAAAATTTATTCCCTGTGTCCATCTAAAACTTTAAATCCTCAGATCAACAACTCCCTTTCTCCTTCCCTCCCGCCCCCAGTCTCTGGTAACAACCATTCTACTCTCTGTTACCATGAGATCATCTTGTTTGGATTCCTCATGTGAGATCATGCAGTGTTTATCCTTCCATGCACGGCTTATTTCACTTAGCATAATAGCCTCCAGGTTTATCCAGATTGTCACAAATGAAAGAATTTCCTTCTTTTTCAAGGCTATATAGCATTCCTTTGTGCTGTATTTTGCTGTGTATTTTTTGCCCAAGGTTTTGAGGAAAAAATAAGGATGCACGTTATACATGGGTGATACCACTTGGGAGTAGGTAAGCCTAGTAGACCTCCTGGGACCACTGCACCCTCCCACGTGGGCCTCATAGGCATGTGGGGTTCCAGTCTGGGAAGATCCAGGATCCAGTGGGAGTAAGCCGGAATGGCCTCTGCTAAGTACCATAATCAGGGGAGGAGGCAGCGGCGGGGCTGGCAAGGCAGCTCATGACCTGGCAGTGTGAGGGCCAATGCCTGAGGCCCTGCTGCACAGAGGAGACCGGGAGCGCCACACGCAGGCCCCAGAGACCCACTTGTGTGCCCATGGGCCAAGTAGCCTCAGAAGCTCCTGCCCTGCTGGCCACACACATGGCCATCTCTGCGGCCCTTCATGTTTCAAGGAGGGGCTCCCAAGAGAGAAGGAAGGGGGACACCCCGCAGAGCAGGTGACTACAGGAGGACTGTGCCATCTATACCTTTACCAGGGCAGTGTTAGCCCTGCCCATATGTCTTTCTCCCGGCTGAAAGCTGGACAATTGTTTTTATCCATTCAGCCATTGATGGACACTTAGGTGGCTCCCATATCTTATCTATTGTGAACGCTGCAGAAATACACATGAGAGTGCAGATAGCTCTGCAATATACTGGTTTCATTTCCTTTGGATATAGACCCAGAAATGGGTTGTTGGATCATATGGTAATCCTATTTTTAGTTCTTTGAGGAATCTCCATACTGTTTTCTAAAATGGCTGTACTAATTTACATTGCCACTAACAGCGTACCGGAGTTCCCTTTTCTCTACATTCTCACCAACACTCATTATCTTTTCTCTTTTTAGTAACAACTATTCTAACCAGCTTGAAGTGATCTCTTATTGTGGTTTTAATTTGCATTTCTCTGGTGATTAAAGCTTCTGAGCGGTTTTAAATATATCGGTTGGCCATTCATATGTCTTCTTTTGAGAAATGTCTATTCAGGTTCCTTGCCCATTTTTTAAATTGGTTGTTTTCTTGCTATTGAGATGTTTAAGTTTCTCATATGTTTTGGATAATAGCCCCTTATCTGATGAATAATTTAAAAATATTTTCTCTCAATCCACTCTGTTAATTGTTTCCTTTGCTGGGCAGAAGCATTTTAGTTTGATGTAACCCCATTTGTCTAGTTTTCTTTTATTACCTGTGCTTTTGGATGCTATCTAAGAAATCATTGCCCAAACCAGTGATTTTCAACCTGTGCCATGGCATGAGAGAATCTTAGGTGTGCCTTGAAAAATTTTAAAGATTATTAATTAAATTGTTTTCAAAAGAAGTTCAAAGCAGAGTAAGCATATTCTTTTTTTAACTATTTTTAACTACAGGTTCAAGTGTGTGGTGAGATAAAGGAGGTTGGAAAACACTGGCCTGGCCCAATGTCATGGAGATGGTCCCCTACATGTTCAGTTTTACAGTTTCAGGTCTTATATTTGTTTTAAATCAATTTTGAGTTGATTTTGTATACGGGGTGAGATAAGAAACCAGTTTCATTCTTCCACATGTGAATATCCAGTTTTCCTGACCCCATCTATTGAAAGGACTCTCCTTGTCCCATTGTGTCTTCTTGGCATCTTTGTTCTTGGCGTCTTGATCATAAACGCATGGGTTTATTTCTGGGCTTTCTATCCTATTCTATTGGTTGACATGTCTGTTTTTATGCTAGTACCATGCTGCTTATAGTATCATACTAAAATATATTAAATTAAAATGTATTTTTAAATGCATTAAAAGCAAAGAGTGCTGTGACCTTCTCCACTATTAATCACAAGGAATCTACACATACTGGTGATTTAAGATTAGTGAGAAAAAGATCATCTTACAAATAAAATTGGTCAAAGAAACAACATGAGGTTTAAAAACATAAGAGGAAGTCTCTACCCAGACTTGGCTATGTTGAGTCTTGTGGGTTGTGTGGATGCTGCCTTGGCCTCCAGGGCCTTAAGGGGACTCAGCCTTTCAGCATTGCTACCCCAAGCTCAGCTCTCTCTGGGTCATCTGGCAGTGGTCCGACTTGCCCAGGACTCTACAGCACAGACACCTTCTTGACCAAAGGCAGGCACTGCCACTGAGCACAACATAGTGTCACTAGTCCAGTGGTGGATGTCAAGTTTGATGAGGGACTACCACCCATCCTAAATGCCCAGGCTGGGTTTGGAGGTGACCCAGCATTTGGGTAAGAGCACAGTAAGCACCACTGGTATGGATGAAACAGAGGCTTGGTTAGATGCCAAAAAGTCCTGAAGGCTGGAGTACCAATCAAAATCTCTATTGACTATGAGACTTTGAGCAGAATCATGAACATCATTGGAGAGAACCTGTTGATGAGAGAGATTCTATCAAAACCAAACAATTTTCTCCTATTCATGATAATGCTCCTGAGTTCATAAAAATGAGTGTTGAGCAGGACATTCTGGTGGGCATTCAAGGTTGTAGATCTGCTGGCTCCATACACCATAGGGGGCAAAATTGAATCAACTTTTTGAGGAAGACAAGTTAGCTATGTCCTGTACATGGAAAACATAGCATTTTTCTCAGCCATTCCAGGTTGCCAGTGTCTTCACAGGTCGTAATGGGGAAGCTGATACCCCTGAAGGAAACCATCAAAGGATTATAGCAGATTTTGGTAGGTGAATATGCCCATCTCCCAATTTTGGCAAAATTTGGCTTTTTGGTGGTACTATAGGTGGTAACACTGTACCAATCGTGGGAGTTAATCAACAATGTCACCAAGCATATGGTGGGTACTCTGTGTTTGCTGATTTGGTGAGAAAACCCACAAAGGCAATGACTTATAACGTGAAGTGATTGAGTCTGGTGTTATCAACTTAAAAGATGCTACCCCAGGTAGTACTGGTATACAATCAAATGAACAAACCACCTGGTGCTCATACCCAGCTACCAGAGACTGGACTCTGACTGAATACTTCAGGTGTACAAGAAGGTGAAGATGTACTGCTGTTTATCTATTTATTTATTTTTATTAATTTTTTTGAGATAGAATCTCACTATGGTGCCCTAGGTAGAGTGCTGTGGTGTCACAGCTCACAACAGCCTCCAACTCTTGGGCTTAAGCAATTCTCTTGCCTCAGCCTCCCAAGTAGCTGGGACTACAGGTGCCCACCACAGTGCCCCGCTGTTTTTTGTTGCAGTTGTCATTGTTGTTTAGCTGGGCTAGGTTCAAACTGCCAGTCCCAGTGTATGTAGCCTGGCATCCTAACCACTGTGCTACGGGCGCTGAGACCGTACTGCTATTTATTGATATCATCTCTCCCTTTGTTCAGGGTGGCTTAGAGATATCTGCCTTATTGGGCAGAATCCCTTTTCCTGGGGGCTATTAGCTTAACTTAGGTGCTATGCAAGAAAGAATCACCACCACCAAAAAGGGGTCTGTCACTCCTACACAGGCTATCTTTGTGCCTGCAAATGATTTCACTGACTCTGCCCTGCCACTACTTTGCCCATTTGGATGCTACCATCGTGCTGTCCTGGGCTGTTACTAAGCTGAGCACCTGTTCAACTGTGGCTCCTCTAGACTTCACCTCTTGCATCATGAATCCCAACATTGATGGCAATGAGCATTATGATGCTGCCTGTGAGATACGAAAGATCCTGTAGGACTATGAATCCCTCTAACATGTCATTGTCATCCTGGGTATCAATAAAATTTCTGAGGAAGATAAGTTGGTTGTGTCCTATACATGGAAATATAGCACTTCATCTCTCAGCCATTCCGGCTGGCTGATGTCTTCACAGGTAATATGAGGAAGCTGGTACCCCTGGAGCAGGTGTAACCCTATCAAGGGATTGTGGCAGATTTTGGCAGGTGAATATGACCCTCTCCCAGGAACAGGACTTCTCTATGAGGGTACCCATTAAAGAACCAGTGGCAAAAGCTAATAAGCTGGCTGAAGAGCATTTGTCATGAGGAGTCCTTCTGGCAAAGTAAGTACTCATCCTCCATGCTGTCCCTCTCCCTGATCCAATCCAAAACCTTCAGTGTTCTGGGTAGGATGCATAAGAGCCTTGATTGAAGACCTTAAGTTCTATTTGAAGCGTACTTAAGGTTTCCAATAAAAGGCATACCCCTCACAAAAAATAAAACAAAAGAAAATGTCATGTATAAACAAGTGGGCTCTGAAAGACCCAAAGCAACTCCTATGGCAATTGGTAAAGAGTTACAGATACGTCTTGTCTAGGGCATGAGACCTCTCAGAAACAGTCAACAGACGAGCCTTAACACACATTGAACTTTGTAATTAGAGAGTCAAAAAACCCAAAAATTTGCTGGAATTTTTAAAAATTTGTTTTCTAAATAAATTAAAGGTTACAAAGAACAAGTTTATTTTCTAATACACTGTCAACCCTAGAAGAACAGGCAAACACGGAAAGTTTTGTTTGAATCCCATAACACCCAGTGTTGACCTCACAAAGTTTCTGTGTAGTCGGTCTTGTTTCTGATTGAGAATGGATTCCACACCAGAATCTGAATTATCGAAATGCCCAGTGGGATCAGGCAAATCAAACCAAACATAGCATCATGAAGATCTGAAAGGGTCCTGGGGAGGGAAAAAAGATACAAAACATAGTTAATCTTTACAATGGCTTCTTAATAATTCAAAGCCATTTAATAAAACATTTCAGAAAAGTTTTATCTATGAACCCATTTAAAACTTAAAAGAAACTGTATCAAATAATTTTATTTTCTTTCAGACAATTGAATAATTCCATAATCTCTACCACTCATAATACTTGCATCTTGATCTTGGTGAATCTTAAATTCACCTGATCAGTTAAAAAAAAAAAAAGGCCTTGAAATTCCCTTTCATAGGTTTTAAACAATGTCATTTGACATGGTTAGAGGTTATGGTTACAAGAGGAAACCAGGTTAATTATAATATTCAAATGTGACATGGTCTGACTTTCTGCGAAGAACTTCATGATCATGGTATCTCCCCTGCCAGGTAAGTATGTGTGAAGAACTTCTATGGTGCTCGATTACATTCCTGATAGATGACATTTTTCATTTAAATCACACACAATAGAAGAGGGCTCCTCTTGATGAAGCAGAGGTGTGCAACCATTTTTCTTCTCTGCTGCACACTGGAAGAAAAAGAGTTGTCTTGGGCCAGACATTAAAAACACAAACACTAATGAAAGCTTAGGAGCAAAAAAAGCCCATGCATATTTTTTGCAATATCTGACACCACAGATAAGCAAGACAGCCGTCATATGATTAGCATGCAGCCCACAGGCCACAGGTTTAACATCCTGATAGCGGCTCCGGTCTGCAGCTTCTTTTTGGTTATCTGGATTATCTAAAACAACACCTCTGTAATTCAGCCATTTGAAGAAAGATGTGAAAAAGTTGAACTATATGGGAAGAGGAGGCAGTTTGTTACTTTTTCATGCTAAAAACCCATCACTCTTACCAGAACCTGAGGATCATTCATTCATCTAAAAAACAGGTACTGTGAGATTATTAATGTGTGAGGCACTGGGCTAAATACTGGATATTCAGTGGAAGGCAAAACCGACAGAGTTCACATGCATGGAGCTGACCTCCCAGTGCAGGAAACAGATCTCAATCAAATAATCATAAATAGGTTTGATTTACACATGATTACATAAGATGACTATAGAAACTGCTATGATAGAAAAGCTCAAGGTATTAGATGAGAGCTCATTGTCACAAGGTCCGGGCTACTCTTGGCAAGCAGAGTCCAGGGAAGGTTTCCCAGAATAAAGGATGTTTGGGCTGACTTCTGAAGTCTGCATAGGCATTATTACCTAGAAAGCCTCTGCCTGGAACCACATGCAAAACCTCCAACTACCACTACCTCGGCCCCTAACATTGTAGCAGAGAATGTCTTCAGTGCTCTGGACTAGACTTTATTTGCCTCCCAGCTGCTACTCCTCAAGATCATCCTTTGCCTTGAATCCCTACTCAGTTGAAGAAATGATTATTACCTATTCACTCTCCACTCTCCTGCTGCTATCTTTCCAGCTCTGAGATAACCACAGAGGTCAAGGTCATAGGCTGGACCATCTATCACATACTGACCACAGCCTCTGGAACTAGCAGAGGCATGGACGGTGCTGTCAGAATATGATTATCCTTTTGATCCATGCAAATTATCTATGGAAAACCTCATTTCTAGGGGTATATGATTTTTTTTCTCTTCTCTGCATTTCTTCCTTTAAAAAAAAAATCCTCTCCCCTCTTCTTTAGTAAGCCTGCCTCTGTCGCTGAGATTTGGTGAAGCCCAACTGCTCCCATCACCAAGGTTGAGCCCCTGTCCAGACCTGGTCAGAGGACTCCATGCCTCAGGGTACAACTGCTTCCTCAGTAACAGGTATGTGACTCATGCAGTACCTTTCACAGTCCACCTGGGGCCTTTTTCTGTGCTACGGGAACAAAAGTTCATGTTTCCTTACAATCTTGGGCTGTAAGGCCTATGTAAACCTGGCGTTATCTTGCTGCCACGTGGTAAAAGCTTGTATCCAACACAGAGAAAAGTCAGAGAAACAAGTTCATGACATCATTTGAGATTTAGCTCTCCCTGACTTTTCAGTTGCCTGAGCTGCTATGTTCCTTTTTTTTATTTAAGCTAGCCAGCACAGATTTCCATCACTTGCAGCCAAAGTGCTTTGAATAATGTACCTTTCCAATGGGCACTTGTGCCCAAATTACCGTAAATTTGCTGCTTTTGACCACGCTAGGGAAAGGAATCAGTGATTTCTAATTGACCACTACCAATAAAAACACAGGAGGCTTGAAACAGCTGAGCACGGGTTTTTGCGAACAACAGGACAAGGTTGTGATTGTCCTTTGAACTGGGTGCTGCAGGTGCTTGCAAGCATGACGCTTCTCTCACTGACATTGACTATTCACTGATTGGAACCACAAGAAAGACTAGACGGGAGAACCGGACCAACAATGGGCTCAAGATGCCAAAAAGGCAACAGAAACCCAGGTTCCATTTTGAAGTGACATAAATCACACGTACCTCAAATGCAAAAAAGAAAGGAAGTGGCCTGGTCAAGACCTTTGAACGGGAGAGGGAGGGAGCACCCACAGAGCCATGGCCATGAGCAGCTAGTCACAGAATTATTACAATATGTGCTCAGAAACCCCGTGTGTCATGAAAAGGCTGGTTTCTGCTTGGCTGCGGCTCCTCGGTGCTTTTTGTCTGAGTGTTTGGTTACCAGCAGGAGCCCATTATCCTTCAGTGCTCTGTACTTATAACAGATTTCAGTTTCAGAAATATCAAGAAATTGGATTCCACCTGCCAGGGGTTCTCTCTGGGAGATTTTCTATGTCTCAGACATAATTTATTTTTTCTCCTTTTTCCATGGTGAGAGGGGCATGGGGAACACCTGTGATAATCTGCAGAGGCAAAGGCTTGTGTGAGCACACTGTCACCCCTGTAGAGAGAAAACCTTAGGCTGGAAGTTCAAGGGCAGCCAGGGGAAGGAACATTTATCAATAAGGCAAATTGATGGCAAATAAGGCAACTACTACCATGTTATAGTTTAAGACCCAACACTTTCAGGCTTGTGTTGTTATTACTGAAATTTTAACCTTTTTTTCTTTTTTGAAATAGGGTCTTGTGCTGTCACCTGGGCTATAAAGTGCAGTGGTATCATCATAGCTCACTATAGCCTCCAAGTCGTGGGCTCAAGTGATCCTCCTGCCCCAGCCTCCTGAGTAACAGGCACTATAGGCACCCACCACCATTTCTGCCTCACTGCTCCTTTCTTAAGATTTCCTCTTTCGGCTCAGCGCCTGTGGCTCAACCGGCTAAAGCACCAGCCATGTACACCTAAGGTGGCGGGTTCGAGTCCCCAACCTGGACCCACCAAAACAACAATGATGGCTGCAACCAAAAAATTGCCGGGCATTGTGGCGGGCGCCTGTGGTCCCAGCTACTTGGGAGGCGGAGGCAGGAGACTCGCTTGAGCCCAAGAGTTGGAGGTTGCTGTGAGCTGTAATGCCACAGCACTCTACCCAGGGGGACAGCTTGAGGCTGTCTCTAAAAAAAAAAAAAAGATTTCCTCTTTCACCTAAACTGTTTTTCCAAGCAAGAAGTGCCCATAATTTTAGAGAATTTCTTTTCCTCTGTCACATTACATTTACTCCACTAGGATATGAATGAATCCATTGATTAATTAGGATATTATGCCTTTAGAATGTCTTCACCTCTCATTTCCAACCTGGATAACATTTTTGAATGAATCTTTGGTAGAAAACTAATTCTGAAGCGTGCTTATGTTTTCATTTATTCAACAAATATTTAATATTTATTGCACACTTACTGTTCTATGTGCTTTGGATACAGAGTAAATAAATCAACAGTAGTCCTCGCATTCAAAAATCTTACCCTCTAGTGAAGGCAAAGAGGCAGTAAACAAACATATTTAATATCACCTTCCTGTAATACACATAATAATAATCGTACCTCTGCTCACAGAAAAATCGTTGCACTCAATTTTCCTTCACTAGCTTCTACTTTCTAAAGAAAAAATATCTACTTATAGGTAATAAAATTCCAAAATATTACTGTCTAATGCCCTTTACCTCATTTTCTGAGCTTACGCCTGCCAAACCATTTGTGAATTGGGGTAGAAAGGGCCATACAAATCCTCATACTCTCACTTCTAATCCTATCATATTTAGGACCTTCCACATCACAAATTTAAAGCAAAGCCTGGCTCCTTTCCACTCTCTTTTTTCCCCTATCAGTATCAGCTAAAAAATGTATAAAATTAATAAGATTGCTTCCTGAGGGTATCTGCAAAGCAACTTTATGGTCGTTCACATAGAAACAGACAATTCTGTCAACTGAGTTGTTACCAAAATCAGTATCAGTGAGTGCCCCTGCAGAGAAAAGGAGAGCTCGGGATTAAAAAGGCCAAAGGAACCTAACTAAGTGTATGTGGCAGTGTGGTCTCTTTTGAAATATGATCCACATAAACTGTTTCAGTCCACTGAAAACTTGAGTTCACAGAAACTGTTGCTATCTCAAGAATAGGCAGGAAATTTCTCCTTTCTAGGGAGATGAATGCCTTTTCAGAATGATAGTGTATCATGTATTGCAGGCTTACCGTGTGCCTAGCCTGTGTCAGCTTGGGTTGCCATAACAAAATATCACAGATCGGGTGGCTTAAATAACTGAAATGAATTTTCTCACAGTTCTGGAGGCTGGAAGTCCAAGATCAAGGTGCCAGCATGGTTAAGTTTGGGTGAGGAATCCCTTCCTGACTTGTAGACAGGATGTTATGTTCTTGCTTGGTGGGAGAGGGAGAAGGAGTAGATTTTCCTCTCTGTTGTCTCTTCTTACAGGATACATCCCTATCATTCAAGCCCACCCTCATGACATCATCTAAACCTAATTACCTACCAGGGTCCCATCTCCAAATAGCCTCTCTTTGGGGATTTGGGTATATGAATTTTGAGGAGACATAATTCAGTCTATAGATACTTTTCTCTTATTGCTGCTAACTTTCACAATAACCTTGAAGAAAACACTGAAACTTAGACAGGTCAATTAAATTGCCCAAAGTTACAGAGCTAGTGAATTGGGGTTGGAGCTGAGATTTTTATCTAGACCCAAATTTAAAATCTCTGCAAAATAAAATGACATCTCTGATAATATAATTTATATCTGATAATATAAATTTATCAGAAGGAAAAAACTCAGTTTTTAAGAATGTCCTATACTTCCTGTAGAATGAGTTAAGATACTCTCCACTGAAAGGCAATTGCTTTTGACAAGACAAGTCAATACACTGATGACTTGATATGACCACATTACTGTCATGAACATACCATTAGAACCTCCCTGTTGACTGCCTCCCTACATTCTCACATCCTTAAGTTGACCTAATTTTCATAGACCTGACATGCACCACATGTACGTATCAGCACAGATGGCCTCGTTCCTTATGTTGACCACATCCATATATTGACCAGTTTGTTATAGTCCCTTGGGTGGTCAACTGCAAAAATTCTACTGTGTAAAGATTTAACTCCCTATGCATCTATTTTTCTCTGGGGGGTAGTAATGTTTCCATCCCTAAAGACTAAATGGGAAAAATTACCAGTATAGTACTTCTCAAAAAATGCCCCCTAAATTTCCATTGTATGTATACGTGGTATAATATATTGTGTTTATCCATTCATCCATTAACGGATACTTTGGTTGCTCTCATCTTTTGGATATTGTGAATAATGCTGCTATGTATTATTATTGTATAGGTATGTATATATTATACAAATAATGCTCATATGTATTTGTATACCTATGCTCATAATGTATATAAATATTATTCAGCCTTAACTAGGACAGAAACTGTGACTTATGCTGTACAATGGATGAACCTTGAGGATACTATGCTAAGTCAAGTCAGCCAGTCAGAAAAAGACACATATCCTATTATTTCACTTATATGAGGCACCTAAGGTAGTCAAATTTGTCACAGAGACAGAAAGTAGAACGGTGGTTGCTGGGGTGAAGGGGATGAGTGAATGGGGAGTTCATGTTTAATGGTTACAGTTTCAGTTTTGCAAGATGAAAAAATCCTGGAGATGAATGGTGATGATGGTTGTGTAATACTGTGGATGTAGTTAATGCCATTCAACCATACATTTAAAAATGGCTTATTTTATGTGTGTCTTACTATACTTTAAAAAATAATTTAAAAAATGAAGGGGAAAAGAAACACCTAAATTTGATTATCGTTTCCTTTCAACATAATCTTGTTCTCAAGTGGTCCCTTTGCAACCAAATATTAAGCCTTATTTACAGAAGAAACTGGGAAGTGAACTATGGAGAAGATAGTTCACTTCTATCTGCTTTTGGTGAAGTTCAACATCATCATTCATAATTCCTCTGTAAAACTGAGAACATGTATTATTGTGATCCTAAGAGATACTGCATAGAATTCCTTCCACAAAATTTCACATTACAGCCCTATTCCTGACATACTCAGTGAACTGATTCTGCTTTAGTAACAATCTTTTGGGCCAAATGTTCTTAATCATTTAGAAAGCTACAAGGGCTCAGGTTCACTATAGTTAGCAACAAGACTTAATATAAAGAACCTTGTCAAAGACTAACTGATTATACTGAGATTCATTCTAGCAACCCCAACAAATGCACATGCTTACATGTACACAGTTCCTTATAGTTGTAATATGTCACATATGTTTTTTTTTGAGACAGAGCCTCAAGCTGTCCTCCTGGGCAGAGTGCCATGGCATCACAGCTCACAGCAACCTCCAACTCCTGGGCTCAAGCGAGTCTCCTGCCTCAGCCTCCCAAGTAGCTGGGAC